TTACTCCAAAGTGGAACAAACCAGTTCTGCTTGTGATAAGATGGTCTCTTTGGTACGCCCCTCCTCCATTGTTGTCTTTGTTGCAACCAGCTGAATTTTCAGAAAAGCAAATGTACATCAGAGTTTAGCAGACAGACTGCAGCTTTGCAGCAGCTAACACATGAGCTGGTTCTTGCCAGACTAAAACAGCTCTTACTCTCAGGTGAAGGTTTCATGCTTCTTTTACTGCAATCTGGCAAGCAATTTGCAGTGCAATTCATGCCTGCATGCAATAAGTTTAAATTTCAGCTTTAAGGCAATTGAACTGATTTTTCCCTTTCAAAGGAGGAATTTAAAACGCCTCTCTGGTCACAAATAGCAATCCATAACAGCCATTGTTTAATATTTTATAATTAATGAATAGAAATAGAAAATGCATAGGTAAAATAATAAAATGGGCACAACATGCTTTGTTAAAAAGACAATACAATTATGATTACTTAAATACTGAGTAGATTGCATATGTGTCGAGGAAAAAGAAATGGTAAATAGACTGTACTTATATAGCGCCTTTCTATCTTATTTCAAGATACTCAAAGCGCTTTACACTACAATCTGTGCCTCATTTATCCATTCATACAGCACTAGATCTAAAAAAAAGAAAAAGCTAATTGAACAAATCCTTCTAATGAGACAAATCAGTGCTTTAGATCACATTCATATATGGGACACACATCAGAGGCTATGAGGGGTCCAGTGTCTTGCCCAGGGACAATTCGGCATGTGACTGCTGGAGGATTCGGACACCCAACTCTCGCATTGGAGGATGACTGCTCTAACCACTCAGCCACAGCCGCACCGAAAGGTATTTTTATTTATTTTTTCCGTTTATGATGCCATGTTATGATGCCATGCCATAAAGTACCACCAACTTTTTTTAACTTGCAATGTAGGATGTAATTTTTCCGCTCCCCCCCAGTTCCTGTAAAATATGATGCATGCACTCCTTTCTACTCCAGACCTTGATAAATATAGGCTGATGAGAGTAAATTGCAGTCTGGCTTCACCGCATGAGGCTGACAAACAGCTTTAATTCCTTAGGGCTTCATGGACAACAAAAGATGGAATATAAACACCAAGGGGTATTAAACGTATCTGCAATAAAACACTGAACAAATACCCCACTGTGTTTTACAGATGGAATTGCATTTGTGGGGGTTTGCGATAGCTGGCTGCTGAGCGTATACATGGTGAATGAATGCATGAGTGTTGGTGGAGGTGTTTGTGTGAGTTTGTGTGTGTGTGTGTGTGTGTTTATGATCCTCACCTGCCCTCCAGGACACACCAGCCACAGTAAGGATCCCTCAGTGCCACGCAGGACTGGCAGTCTGTCTTTTGGAGGCACGTCTGCACCGGCACTTTGGTGATCTGGAGAATTACAAAGTGGAATGTGATCAACAGTGCACCTCAGGGGAGACGATGTACAAAACAGGAGGCATTTAAGGAACGGCTAGAAATGTCTCCAGGTTTTTAGGAGGTGTACAAAGCAAGGAGCAAAACAAGTTTTGCACATGGTCATGTTCAATTACTGAAACAATTTACTCAGTGCAAAAAGTAAATGCTTGCTGTGTTGAGTTGTGGAATATAAGTACCTATAATTACCTCATAAGCACTTCTATTAGATGTTACTTTAGGTTGTCTGTATTCTTCAAACTAACTGCTTGTGTGATTGCCTAATTACATATGAAAACCAACAAACAGCTTGTGTGTTTGGAAATAGAAAAAGTAGCCAAGGTTCTAGTTGAATTTGTTATACATCCTGTTCATTATTTTTAAGCCAAATTTGATACAAATATTTAACACTCTGAATGTCTTCCAAGACAGAGAGTCTAAAAATATTATCCATATTTAAATGTTTTCACATCTTGGCTGTCTAAAAGAGAGTTGGCATTTAACTGCGTTTGACTGAGCCCGACAAAGATATGAACACTTTATTCTTCCAACACAGTTAAACATCATACCATTAAAAAAAGTTTGGTTCCAGTACAAGACACCCTTTAACCCTACTTTAATTATTTATTTATTTAGATGTTGCAATGTCCTAAACAACTGAATTAAGTTTGTGTCTTGAACTTTTTGGAATTAAACAAAGTGAAAATAAATCTTTCATCCTCATCAGCCATGGGGCTATGGCAGTGTTTTAATACACACACGCACGCACGCGCGTGCACACACACACACACATATATATACACACACACACACATATATATATATATATACACACACACACACACACATTTATATACACACACACACATACTGTATATATACACACACACACACACATATACACACACACACACACACATATATATACACACACACACATATATATACACACACACACACACACATACACACACACACATATATATACACACACACACACACACACACACACA